AATTATTCACTCGTATCCGCTGAAGCTTCGCCAACGTTGAACATATTGTAGATACGTACAACACGTTTATTTCAATAACTATACACAACGCTTCGCTGAAGCGTTCCGAATTTTTTTTGAGACATCCTGTAACACCTCCGTCCCGAGTCTACGATCTTCCAACCTCGTAGAATCGTCCATAATTCCACACCAAATACACCACAGACATCCATTCCACAAATAGTACCGTCAGCAACATCCTTTTACAGAACTTTTCGGGCGTACCGCCTCAAAGAGGTGCACCATTCCGACCACATCCCGGTTCGACCGAAACCGGAACAACGAAACGCCCTTCCTGAAACGTGTTTCCATCTTGCACGCCCACGGTTAGCTCTCGGGAACCGCTCTTATCTTCTTGGCGAGCAAAATCGCGGCCTTGAGGGCGTAGGGAAAGGTGGGCAGCGGTACATTTGGAAGGCATTAACGCGTCACTCCGAGAATCCGACAGCGGGCGACGAAACGCTGCTCATTAAAATTCCATCGGGAAGTCCCCCAGGGAGGCTTGACGTCTCATCGTCTCTTTATGAGTTCCGCGTGTGTCGCACACCGGCTGCACGAGCCACGACATCTGCGCTCGATCCACCGCCAACGAAACAAAGAACCTTCTCCACCTTCTCGGCGGCGTCGGCCTTCTTCCTTGCGAGTTTTCAATCGGTTGACAGGAAACCAGGTGTCTAAACGAGCGTTTATCGTCGCCGTGACACCGGGCGTTGAAATAATTGGACGTCGGAGGGGAAAAATGTTCCGTTTGGTCCACCGGTAAGGTTCGGTAGGACAGGAAAGTAGAAGTTAACCAGCTCGTCGACCGCTTTAATAGCGAATGGCTGCACGTTCGTTAATGGCGGAGCTTTCTTTAATTAAAAACCTCGAAAAGTCGGAACAGATGCCCTAAACACGCTCGTCCACGCCGACCAGTAATTACCGGTCGGGTCTGCCGTGGTCTGGCGCGAGGATTTTGCTCGTTCAAGGCCGTTGAACTACCCTACACGCTGTACCTCCCTATTTCGCCGCTGCTCGTTCGCTTTTTCTGTCTCTCTGTCTCTCTGTCTCTCTCTCTCTCTCTCTCTCTCTCTCTCTCTCTCTCTCTCTCTCTCTCTCTCTCTCTCTCTCTCTCTCTCTCTCTCTCTGAGTCTCTCAGTGATACGGAAAACAAAGGATCCAGATTTGCCGATGAAACGATCGCAGCGATAAGAGAAAGAATGAATAGAGAGAGAGAGAGAGAGAGAGAGAGAGAGAGAGAGAAAGCGGTAGGAAGAAAAACGCCAGTGAGACAGCAGAAACCGACGGAAGAAACGAAAGTACGCAATATCCCGAGGGCAATGTCTCAGCGCGAAATCCTGCCGCGACCCGCGGCGACGTTCATAAGCCACCCTTTATCGTCCACACCCCTGACCGGTATCCCACCTAGAAAAGGTCGTTTCCTTCACGATTTATCGTCAATATCAACGATTTCAAAAAGAAACTAGGGGCGAACTTGCGACACTCGGCCATTGACCGTCCTCCTGTATTCTTTTCTTATCGAACTTCCCTCAGAACCGGCATAAACGTCGAATTTCCTACGAACGTCAAACGCACTTTTGTATCGATAAAACGGAGATCAGGAACAACGTGCCAGTCGAGAAGTCTTTCACGCGCAAGCAGCAACAGAGTCGCTTGTGAAAACACCCGCCTTAGAACTGAAACAGAGAGCGATAAAGTCCCACTACTTTCCAAAATTCTTCGAAAACTAGGACGAAGACTCGTGTAAGAATGTGATCGAAAAAATAAAAAGAGACAATCTTTAAATTTGTGTCCACTCTGTACGATCTAGAGTTATGTCAGGAACCGCTGTTTCAGTCGTAACGCTTCGATAATTTTCTACGCGTAAATCTTGATCTTTAGACTTACAATTAGTCGTTGAAGGATCATTGACAAAGTCTCTCCGAGCTAATCATCTTCCGATACTCAATTACTTTGTAACTTAAGGACTCATAGTCTCTGGCTAGATTCTACCAAACTAGTGTCGCGCACTTGTTTTTTGAAATTCAACGAGACTCCCACCGAGACACTGGCGTTAATTTCGAGCGTTAAAGAGGAGAACCCTGAGAGCAGAGGCGAGCGGCATATTTCTGGCGGGAATTGCAGGCTTAAGACCGCAAAAGGATCGACTCTGTCGTGCATATCAAACACCACGAGGACTCTCTCGTCCTCCTGTTTCGTCTCGTTCGCCACCCCCCCTTGGGTCGTCTCACCTTGCTCCCTTCTCTTCTTCGAGGGTGACTCGCTTTCCCTTGGTCTCCTTGGTAGGTAGGATTAGCCGATATTACGTGGGTTTGACGGGCGGCTTCGAGTGCACGCTCGTAAAATAAACGGCGGCGAGGCCTGCGAAGCAGATGGCCCCCGGGGCTGCCTACGGTTACCACTTCCGCGAGAGGCGAAAAGCCCTCGCGATCGCCGCGTTTCTCAGCGTTATAAGATTATTAAGACACGCGGGGCGTTGTTATATTAGGACGAAGGAGGGAGAGTCTTCCCCTTTCCGAGACGCGCGTATCATTGTTTCGCGGTGACTGGTTAACGACTGGAAATATTGCGCGAGCTGGCGTGTAAAAATATTTCTGCGTAACTGCTGCGATATACGTACGCGCAGGAGAACGTAGGGTCTCGAAGGAAGATCCCGCGTATGGATATTGCGCGGAATATTATGCGTAACTTCGCGGGGCCGAATGTCTCGGCTGAACGGCCGAATCTCCAGTTACGAGCAATTTCGGATGCCTCTGCATTTTTCGCACGTTTATGGCGTTAAGGAAATATTGAACAGTTAGCTTGACGATCTCTCTCCCTTCCTCTCACTCATCCTTTTCACTCTTTTCCACTCCTTCTTGCCTTTCTTCTTACCAGTCCAATCTCTTTCTTTCCTTTCTCGTTTTGCACACGCAGTTTCGTTTCTCGTCTGCAATTTCCATGGAAGAAAAGTGCAGGCAAGTGCCGTTACTTTCCTGTTTAACGATAAATCTCGCAGGATGAAAGGACGTTCGCAAGTCCTCTCGGAAACCCACTTCACGATAGAACTTGGACTCGCGAAGGAAAACACGAAGAACAACGAAAACATCGCGGTCCGTCGATCCCCGAGAGAAGAATTCCTTGGAGCGGAACGCGGCGGAGTCGGTAGCTCGCGGAGGAGCAGTCGAGAGTGCAAAGGTCAGAGACTGGCTGCGAGGTGGTTGAGGGGGACACCAGGAACTAGAAGGAGGAAAACTATCGTGGAAGAAGTGTAGGTAGGTAGCGAAACGAAGCGAGGCCAACGTCACAGCGAAACGAGACGAAAGGAGATATACCAAGCTATACAGAGAAAGAAGAGAAGAAAGCGCGGGTGGCGAGGGCTCGAAAGGTCGTCGAGATATTTACATTGGAGGGTCGGGCTTTCTTCGGGCCGCCGCTATTATCAATATTCATAATCCGGAGCTGGAGACATCCGTGGAACGTGCAGCACGCCGGCCTCATGCGGTGACCAAGAATCGCTCGGTCCCTGCACAAAAAGATAGACCAAGTAGAAAGAGAAAAAAAGAAGGAAAAAAAAAACTGAGAGAAGAGAGAAAAAGAAACGAGGAAGAAGAGGTAACGAGAAAGAAAAGAAAGACGTGGAGGAGGAAGAATTAGGGAGAGAGAGAGAGAAGAAGAAGAAGAAGAAGAAAAAGAAAAAGAAGAAGAAGAAGGCCCAGCGAGGGGGGCAGCAAGGATGACGAACAGAGGGAGCCCAGGCCACGGACCGTGGGGGCCTAACCGCAAAAGAGGCAAATCGACGGGTAAATACGTTGTTGACTCTGCGGAGAGGAGGCCGAAAGCCAAATGGAATTCGGTCCGGTGATTTAGTGGGCGGTGTTCGGAGACCGCCGGCCGCCACCGCTGCCTCCGCGCTCGCTTCTTCTCTCCGCCGCCGCATCGTTTCTCCTTCATCCCTCTCCCTCTCCCACGTCGTTCCTCTACCGATCCTCCAGCCGCACAGTCTGCCGCGTTCATCGCCCGACCACCGTTCCGAGAGCGGAGCAAGAAGAAGACTGCGAGAAGAGAGAAAATCGCGAAGATGCAATCGGCTACCGTGCGCGGACACGCGTGCGTGCCGATTCCGCGGCCGAAACACGGACCCGACTTGGCCCCGGAGGGCCACATCGACTTACATTCAATTTACAGAGAATGCGTTTTTATGCCCTCTTCTTTTCTTCGATTCTTACTTTTTTGTTTCCTACCGCCCATGTTTTTCTGCTTTTCATCCCGCTGCGCACCGCGCACACGGACTCTCGTTGAACACCAGATGCGCCAATTCCGTCGGAATTTTACTGCAAACGGCAAACGATAAACTTTCGGGAGTTAAAGTGGCTACTGACCACGCTTCACCACGCATCCGCGCTTCTGTCCGATTTAATCGGTCCGACCGAGGTCCTTTCCTCTTACAGATCGCACATCAGTGTCGTGATACAACGTTGTTACGAGAAAACGGTTCTTGCTGGTTTCAGACCTATCATTTGTAGGATTGGCCGATTTCCTGGAAGCTGTATTGTACCACAGCTGGTGAGTCAGCTTTTTACCTGGTGATTCTAGCAGTCTATAATTAATGGTTATGATAGATTCAGCGATGCGATCCAATTTCTTAAATGACTTCGCTAATCTCCGTTTGACTCGAGATAGTTGAGTCTGTGCAATTTATTAAAATTATATTCCAAAGAACCACACATCTCTTCTCTCTAAAACAACTTCGAGATTTTAATACGCCCCTTTTTTAGAAAATCTGCCAACCTACCAGTGACTTGATTTTCACGACTCTCAAATCTCTCGGTCAAAGATTCAACCATAAACTACCAAAATCAAGAGATCATCTTTCTCTCTGCCACTGGAAACAATTCCTAAACGTCACCGAACCACCCGTAAACTCGACGATCTGACGTAACAAAAACAATTGCTACGATTAAAAAAAAAGAGAGAAAAAAAAAGGAAAAAAGGAGCCATTCCCACGACACAACCGCTATAAATCCCATTCTTCACGTCCTAAAATTCATTATCCACTTGGCGGAGCCGAAACAATTAACAAGGTTCGTTTCACTGGGTCACGAAGTGGCCACGAAGGGGCCGAAAAGTTGGCATCGGTTTCTTGCGGACCGTGCAGCTTCGAGGAAGCGAACCAATTAGTGTTTTGCTCGGCTAATGAATCGTCATCCGGGCCGCTGCTGCCCCTGTGCATCGTGTAAGTTAAGGTTAGAGTCGATGGTATGCCTGGCACGCTCGGCCGCAGAACCGGGTTCGCGAACGAGTCCCGAGCACAAAGGCCGAGCAACCTCGCCGAAGAAGTGGGTTATTAATTATCAATGCTACCTCTGTTCCCTCCGTCTGCGCTTCTTCCTTCGTGCCACAGTTGTTGGCTGGCAAACGGTCCTCTCTCTACCTTCTTCTGCGCCTATATTACCTGTGGTCCCCGACTGTCCAGACTCCAGAGTCCATTGGTGCATTGAAACGCCACGCAGAGTAAACTTTGCCGGTAGATTTGGTAGATTCTGTAAAAGTTTAGTAGACGGTAAAAAAAAATAAGGAAAAATACAGTAAATTTCGTTATACAACAAAGTGTGTAAAGCTTTCAATGAAGAAGAAAGAAAACAAGAAAGATTAAGATTCCCAAATTGTTCTCGATACTCAAAATCCTCACTTATTCGATGATCCAGAATCGCAAAGTTTCCCACAAATCTATTGCCAAATATTATTGCTGTGCATAAAACGAAATGCAACCGGAATTAACTAAAGAGAAGAATTCTTCTATGAAAAGCTGTTTGTCAAGTTTGTACCGTTTTGTCATTCGTATTCCGCGGCTCTAAGAAGTTGGGATCGAGCTTGATGCTGAGAAGTCTAGTTCGATTCGAGTTTCTCTGCACGCGGTATTGAGTATTCATAGTCTAGGTACTTGCATTGATTCAGTTCAGAATTATTGACGAATTTTGATAACAGAAGTAAATTTAGTATTTAGATTCAACGACGAACAGTTTTCATTTGCAATTCCTACCATTCAATTTAATATTATCAAAAAAAACGTTCCAAGCAATTGGCCTACAATTAGTATTTTCTCGTCGTTACGTCTTCCATTCAGGGTCTACAATTTTCATTCTAAAATTTAATGGAATCTTCAAGGTTAGTTTTTATTGATTCCTTCCGCTTCTCCGGAACGAAAATAAAAATCGCGAAAGCTCGATGAGAACGTGACAGAACGACAAGAATGAAAAAGGCGGAAGGACTGTGGCGAGCGATGCCCGAGATCCAAAGGGTTCGAGAGCACAATACGACGCGACTGCTTCGTCCAGATGGGCAGATTATCGGTTTCCTGCATCGTGATCGCGAGATCCCCGGGATTTTTCTTGCCTCGTCGAGAATTAGCAACAGCGTGCGCCAGTGTGGAGGTCCGCGCGGCGAGGAACCTCGTCACACAAGCATTCCGTAGCCACGATCGCCGCGCGATTCTCAAAGTAAATGGATGTCCACCGATTTACTTCTTATTGGAACGGAGATACATGAAGAATTCGTTGGAAACGAGCGTTTCAACTGTGAGAAGATTAAAACCAGGGAACGACAAAGAGAGAAAGAGAGAGAGAGAGAGAGAGAGAGAGAGAGAGAGAGAGAGAGAGAGAGAGAAGACGAGAGCTTGTACCTAGTCCGCTGTTTCATCGATGAATCGCCGTTTCCTCGTTCCGACTGGATTTACGTCTTTTCTGTTACAGCTGGCACGAATGAAAATTATGCTCGTCGCAAGAGAAGAAGAACTACCGACCGTTAAACGTTCCGACTGGTTCAGTTCAGTGAGCAGAACATAGCAGAGAGAGAAATTAAATTGAAGTATCTCTCGTTATCTTTTCATTGTTCTTCGTCATCCGTCAACTTTTATCACGGAACCCCGACACGTCTAGGATCTTACAAATTGTCATTTGGAGCACGAGTGGCGTACGAAAAATTTATGGACATGAACGAGCATTTGTTTTATCTCTGTTTAGGTCTCATTTCCTTGGCACTAGAACTACCGACAATTAAAACGTAAAATTTCCATCAGAGATGTTGAAGTAAAAAAAACAAAAAAAATTAAAAAATGAAAAACTTTATAACAGAAGCTTTTATTTATACATTTTACGAAAATGTTTTACAACTGTAAACTATCCAACAAAAATTACAAATTAATCATTTTGATCATTTTGGTAGTTTTAGTTGCAAAAACACGAGGAGCATCCGATATGCATCAGGTACGCTTTATAGTTACACTTCACAAAGTTCACGCTTTAATTTTCTGTCACGGTACACCCAGTAAAACCGCTACAAGAGAGTCAAGGGGCACTTTCGTTTCAACCGTGGCTGTCGAGAGTTGAAGCAAGCTGCAGAATGTAATCTTCCGCCAACACCTCGCTTCAAAGAATGCGTCTGTGATCTTTCCCCGTTGAATTCCCTTTCCCCGGGAAACAGCCCTGCTTTCCCGATAAAATAATATCAGCTTGCGCATTAAGACGAGGTTTCGGAGAAGCGTTAAACCAGTATCGCGCGGCATTGAGTACAGAATGCTGGAAGACGCTGCTGGTGATTCCAGGGACTGTAAACTTTACGACGGAACCAGTCACCTCGCTAGAGACGTTTCGTAAAATCAAAAGGACTGACTATTAACGCCCCCGTTTGCACGTAGTCGGCCATTGTTTCTCGCATCAAATCACGACGCGTGATGCAGGCTGGAAAATATCGCGGCCATCGTTCGCGACGCGATCATGCTCGGTTATAAAATTTACGAGTGCCAGGGAGCTTTCTGGCCGCGATCTACGCCGTGATGTACGACAGGCACGATGACAGTTGGCGGTATTACGAGCGTAACATCAGGCAAGAATCGACTGCTGATGGGAATAAACAGCTCGCAGCCAGCAACTCTATGAAAGTATCCGAATCAACCAAGAACTTCGGCGAGTATCCGGTTGTTCCAGCAGCGCACAGACAGATAAATAAGCAGACAAACAAGGAGAAAGGAACGAATGATCGACGCACGAGAATCATTATCATACGATCGAATCTTTCCGATCACGTCCCATCGACGCTGGAAACAGCCGACATTTACGACTGGTTAAACATTATTGTAATGTCTGTCTGCGGACAATGCAAATCTGGGCTTCCTGTTTCCACGAACCACTCCGATATCCCCGGAGCATGGGAATCTTCGATAAAGAATTCTTCGCCGCTGACGCGGCCTTTCTCGTGACTTCCACGCACGCGTCTCGCGTCTGAAATTCCCTTCTTCGTTTCGCCAAACATATGGATCCTCTCGTCCAAACAGGAAATTAAACTTCTCCACGCTGTGTGTTGTGTTTTCTTTCTTTTCATTTTTTTGTTTTTTTTTCTTTTTTTCTTTTTAATTTGCATACGTATATTTCCCTCGTTCACTTGATATTCTCCTGTTCGAAAGGAACCTTCGCCCGAAGAACACGAAGATTAATCGCTCGGTTTCGTAACACCTTATTAAAAATTATTTGTGCATTGGATGAAAAGGGTATCGCCAGATCTTCGGTTGTTCTTTAACGCTCGGAGCGTGCCACAGCCAGTTAAGATTCAGCAGATTAGGAATACAGTGTTCCCAATCATCGAGGCGATCGCGGCGAAGGAAACGCCTGAAGATAGAATTAGCGATCGGCGAAGAGAGAGGTCGATCCACTTGGCTGTTCCAACACTTTCCCCCCATCGATCTAGCCAATACCTTCCCAGTTAGTCGAGATCTCGCATCTCGCTTTTACAGCTCCTTTTCCGTAACGCTTCGAATACCGCGTGAAAGACAAGCGAGCTCTCTGTTTACGGTCGTACGGAATGCCAAGATAGAGATAGCCACATCGAAGCACAATCAGAGTCCGGTTCCCCGGTCTCCGCGTCTAATGTAAGAACATTTCGTTAATGCGTTATCAGGCCTGGCCCATCGATTTCTCGGCGTTCGGCCAGCAAGCCATCCAAGTAACACGAGCTGTTCTCCAACGAAAGAAGCTAAATAGAGAGCTTAATGAGAGTCTCCATTTTGTCGATGCTACCGCCATTATGAAATCGGCTTATGTTACAAGCTAGAATTTGGCCCCTCAAGATCATTGAGTAGCTTTATACCGCTGCATCTTACGAAAACTCTTTTTTCGTCGTCTTCTCCAGCTTCGGTACCGTCGACTAGCTTTATATCGCTCTATCTTACCAAAACTGTTTTCTCGTCATCTTCTCCTCGTTTCCAGCTGGAAACGGAGGATCATTGCGTCGATTAATAGATGAAATCTGCTCGTGAAATCATTGAAGTAACTTAATGATGTTGAATATTGAAGAAATATTGAAGAAATTAATCTAACTGTAAATCGGAATCGAAGAAATCATCATTAACTAGATTTATCAAATGTCTAATGTATAAATCCTTCTCTTGAAACAAGATGTTTAGTTTTATACTGCTTTTTGACATTAGAATGTCAAACGTTAGATATTCTACTTACACCACAAGATTTTCTTGCTATTAGACCAAGAAGGTAACCTGTTGTATCTTCAAACTACTCTCGCTCACCGGTGGAAAGACTGAATCAAAAACGATTAATAATCTGCTACGCGGAGCCATGGCGGATGTCCGTTTTCGCCTTCGGGCGTCAGGGTGAAACCGTTCGAACGATATTTACGATCGGTCCGCCCGCGGCACCGCTTCGCTTCGCTTTCTCGAGTCACAATGTAATAAGGCGCGGTACAACGCGCGGCGTACGCGCGTTTACGAGGCGTCGTCGGCCGAGTTTTACCTCGTAAACGTGGGCGGCACCACGTGAAGCTGATCTCCGCGCGCACGAATTTACGTCCATTGTCCCGGCACTCGCCACTTTTCTGCCTTCTTGGCCGCGGAGCTTTTCCTGCTCGCCTTTAAGGGGTCAGGACAGTTTGAAATTTTCAAAAAATCTTACTTCTTACAACGCGAGGACAAAACGAGTATCAAAGACTACCACAATTTCATTATCCATGTATGTATTAATTCAACAAAGTCCTGATCTTCTTAACCTCTTGCGCTAGCAACTGATTCACGGACCATAACGAGTGACCAAACCGTGTACAATAATTCGTCTTCTTTTTGAATTCATCGGTATATCACAGAATAGACATTACTAAGAAATGACAAATTTATTGTTTGTTTCAGAGACCGAATTGGTATTACGGATACCGTAATTTTTAGGTTACTATTCGATTAGGTTTGATGAAATGGTACGAATACCAGTATGACGCTATTAAAACGATGTTAGGTCGGTAGATATATTTCGGTATAATACCGATATAATACCGGTATAATACCGGTAAATAAAATATTAATATATTAGAAAAGGAAAAGGAGACAATGATTAAATGTTTTCATAAAGCTTTTACCGATAGTAAATTTGATGACGCTTATACATGTATCCTTTATTATTTCTAATACTAATTCATCGTTCTATCTCCATACAATATCAGCCACGATACTTTTACTTAATTTTAAAAGATGATCAATTTT